AGCAGCTCCATATTCACCGACAGTCCGTTCAACAACTCTCCTCCTCAGGATGATGCTGTTGGTGTCGAGACCATAACAACCAACGACTTGATTAATCTGAATGATAAACCTGAAGGGAACGCCTGAAGTTGGCGATAGTGATAGTCGGGGCAGCAGCTGCTTGTTCTTTTACTACTACTACCGCTACTACTACTACTACTACTACTACTACTACTACTACGATTGTATGCGTCTGGTTACATAACCCATCTCCCTCTAGCTTGTCGCTTAGATTATTACCATTGCTGCCATTTATGTATACCCGAATTTCAACACAGAGTGAACAGCTTTGCCCTTCAGTGTCGAGGTATCCTCTACTAGATCAATACTGCTGTCCACGTGGTGTAGATTTTAGTCTTTTTCTCAGCCGTTGGGTAGTTTTTTTCTCACATCTGCAACCCTCGGCGACATCTCGAGGGAGCATCAGCATTAAAACTCTGACGACCGTCTTCAACAATAATGGGCAACGCAATATGTTCGGGTCCCCCACCAAGAAGTGACTACCAATATCAACCTACCAACTCCCTGGATACACAACTGGCCAAGCTTAGGAGAGTCGAACTGGTGAGGAGGATCAGTGGTGTAACGTCTAGTGGATCAAGTTCGACTCTGATGGGCCCCGCTACTTCTATTACTGAGACCAGTTGTGGAGTCTCTAAGGCGAGGATTTAGCAATTGTTGTATGCCCTTGACTCTATCGACTCCTATCCTACCTCTTTGCTGTTACCTCCTCATCCTAGGGGAAGATTTGCCTGCTATGTACTTCACCATCTCATCTTGACTAGGTGCTTCAATTCTCGTATAATATATCATCAACGCGTCAGCTCCTCGCCCATTGTGGTGGTGGTTCAATGGACAGGACCGTTCAGATGACCAGAGAAGCTTTTGCAGCACAGCATTGTCGCTTCTTGTATAGTCATTACTAGACATCATGTTTATCTAACTATTACTGTCTACTTTTAATACCCCTCTTCCCCTGCAGGAATACCACTTGATCGCCTGTTTCGATAGATCAGTGCACCCCTCTGCGCTGTGTTGGTTGGGACGAAAGGTGTGAGATTAGCTCGAAGTCGTAGCAACGGCAGTGTCAAGTACACGGTCGCGGAGTTTCTTCTTCTTACTCTTTCTAGTGGGTAACAGCATTATTCCGAATGGCATCAGCATCATCAAGTAGATGCCTCCGTTGCCTGCAGACTGCAGACCAGGACTATATTGACAGAGACCCTCATAGGGCTCCATTGATGTCCCCAAGAGAGAGGGTCACATTGAATCCATGCGAGAAGTTCCGACGTCACGGCTTATGGCCGTGGAGACTCACCGTTCACGTCTGTTTGGCTCTATTAACAACGGCCATGGTGTGGGTGCCCCCACCGTTGAGTCCCTATTCAATACATCTAGTTGGGTAGGTGCATTTGGACCGAGAATGACTGTCTACACGCTCGCCATGCTCTACGGCATTTCTATACAGGATTCATTGGAGTATCTGGCAACCCAGGAGAGCGGGAAAGATGTCCGTTGGACTCTCTCTGGGGTGTCGACGAGCTTTCAACAGATCCAAACGATTCTCGGCATCGTACGAGTTCCTCTCAGATGCATCGTCTCCATCAGAACTTGCAAGCATCTGCAATAACACATTGGAACATTACTGGCATATAGATAGGAAGAGCCTTTCAGACTTCAGGTGGGACTAAATATTCTTATTACAACCGCCCCTTCACTTTCGTAGCTTACTATTGTCGAAGAGCGGTATGGTATTCCTCATCAGGCACCTCTCCCAGCCCCCGGTACTTCATATACTCTGGCTCAATGGTGACCAGCAGAGGATGGTCCTCGACGATGCTTGGGAGGAGGACCCTGCTTATGGACACTTCATCAACTCTGTTGATAGACTGAAGAGAATACGTGACGTATGAGTTTTAGTTGTTCATCACCACTTGTACTTCCTCACTCACAGATGCACTTTGTCATACACATTTTGGATCCCTTCCCTGGCTCTTGGTGGTGGCAATGCTTATCCTGGAACATACGAGTCCATTTTGATTACGGTGGCAGCGGTCAGGTAAGACTCCCTCGCCTTAGGCAAGTTGCCTAATCAACGTTCTCAATCATAGAATCGCGAGGAACCGTTCGTGGTGGATCTGATGAGTTGAGAATCGTTTGGCAGATTAAGAGTCGGCTTAGTTTCGACCTCACTGAGTGTTCGGACGGTGAGCTCCGGGCTCTTTTCCTAGAGGATCCACACCTGGCAGAAGAGAGATATACCCATCCTGCCTTGTATCTTCTGCCATTCTTTTGCTTGCCTCTCACGTTACTCTCGGCGGCCCTTACCATTCGGTCCCATGCACTTCGTCGAGGGGGTGGCTCTTTGAGGTCCACTGGTGACTCGAACGACATTCTATTACGTGAATTGGCGGTCGGTTGGCTTGACCCGTGGTTGATATTCGTATTGCTTGCTAATGCAGTCCAGACCCTTGCTGCATTACAGTGTATTCAGAAAGCTGATAAGACGGCAGATGTCTATTGGAGGCTGTCTCTTCTAGGCGTTGGTGCTGGTATGGCATGGCTCACCCTTCTGCGTTACCTCAAGTTCTTCCCTACTTACTATGTCCTCATTCGGACACTGGCTCGAGCGTTCCCTCGTCTACTGAGATTCCTCTCTGGCCTGGTGCCTTTGCTATTGGCATACGCACTGTGTGGAACTTGTGTATTCTGGCCCAGCAGCAACTTCGCCTCTTTATCCGACGCTCTCATGGGGATGTTTTCCCTTCTCAATGGTGATATCATCCACGACATGTTCATGGATATGACTTCTATTTCGTGGTTCTGGGGGCAAGTCTATTGCTACACGTTCCTCTGCCTCTTCATCTACGTCGTATTGAATATATTCCTAGCGATCGTTGATGAGGCATTCTGTACGGCAAAGCGTTTCGAGGAGCTTCACCTACGACCTTCTGAAAGCTCGAGTACAGCGGGATCATCGACCAGCATACGTAATGTTGATGATACAGGTGGGATAAAATGCTCATGGCGAACATTGTTGAGAGAATGATTCCTCATTGCCCAGGTCGTGAACAGTGCGATGATAGTGAGCTGCTGATGAGATCTGAGGTGTCTGCCTAATCTCCTATGTTGACTTTTTATACATTCTTATACGTATAATGTAATTAATACTTTAATCACACAAGAGCTATTGCGTCGGATTAAGTGGGGATATGTTACTAGGGTAGCACGGAAAGAAATGATGAATGGGTCGTATAAAGAAAATAGTGAGCAGATAATAAGCTGTTACCTATTGAAGTAGCAGTAAATCAAAGAGAGTACTTATTGCATAGACAGGTCAGCTTATTGAAGGATGATGTATCCTTTGGCATGCACGGTTGGAAACTCATATAGGTCTCTCGAGGTTCAGCGAATTGGGGTGTGTCCCCGATGAGCTCCACATCATAAAGCATAGAGACGGTCGGCAAGTCCCGCGCCCGTAGCCGCAGACGGACAATTCCGGCGGATTTGTCAGTGGTTCGGCGGATAGTGGGAGTGAATTCAGGAGAGATTTCGAGATCGAGGCAAGCTGAACCTGATGAATGTTGAGAGTTTATGAAGGAGATGATGGCCTCAATGATACTGGGAGGTACACTCGAGGATTCTTCTCCCCAATTTCGAGAGCAAGGGGATGCCCTGAAAACAAGAATGACAAGCAAGCCACATGATCGTCGCGATTAGATGCAGGCTCACTTCGTTGGTATGCCCATTTGCTGAGGAGTTCTGTGTTGCACTTTCGTCGTGAATATATTCCGAATAGAGACGTCGCAATTGGGCGAATCTTGACGACCTGATCAAGCCTCGAACATTCTTGTGAATGCCCCGCTACTTACAGCTGACTGGCAGCATGTCCTCGTCCATCAGACCCAGGACAGTGTTATGGAGGTCTACACTCGTTATTAAAGCAAGCTCATTGTATGAGAGGACATCATGCACATTAGTAGGGAACTCCTTATTCGACAGAATGATGGCCAAAGGAGAGTATCTCTCATTGGCTGCGGCTTTATGACCAGCCCATTGGGTTGCCGTGTCACTCATAACGATTGTAGTATGTCGTTGACCCAATTTATTGTAGAAGTCATCT